GAAGGGAGGCAGCGAATGTTCGCGGCAAGTTTGGATAGTTAATGGTGGAAACACTTTCAAGGATAGTTTGATAGTGGAAACACATTTAATTACAGGATATATGATTCTTTAAGTGTTACCATTCAACATTCCTAATCGTTTGTTATTATTTGTATTGTAAAATGCATTTGTGCCCTCATCCCTCTTCCTTTTATGTTTAACAAATGTATATTGACATACTAATATCTGGTCTCTTGTATATAGTCGCAGTGAAAAAGATGGTCACCCCAAGTGGTTTGTTCTTGGAGTCGGACAAGTGATCAAGGGCCTTGATATTGCTTTGGTGGACATGTGCCCTGGAGAAAAAAGGAAAGTGGTCATTCCCCCATCTCTGGCCTACGGAGTGCAGGGTTATGGTAAACCAAGACTTTTTTTGTTTCAGTTTTTCCATGTACTGAAGATGCATCATGATGGCGTACTTGTCTATTAAGTTAAGGATCAAGACTAGCTACACATATTAATGGCTTGGTTGGTGGCTACCGTGGCACTGTTAGTTCTTTCTGCACTTCTGCCTCTATTTAGTCTTTGGCTATGCAGGTTACTTTTGCCCACAATGAATACTCCACTAACTACTGTGCAGAAATCAATGTGGTAAAAAGCTGATCATCTTGCCCAGCATAAAATTAACTGGGATGGTAATGGTTTATAAAGGTAGAGCTGATCACTACACTGGAGATATTTCACTGTTAATACTGAGCTCCAGACAAACCGCTAAAACACAGATGGAGAGCTGAATTTTATCTGCTACAGCTGAGTAAGACTTACAGGTCTTGTCAACCCCCCTCTGCCCAAACCTGTGGACCGTGAAAGGATAAGCAGCAGAGTGATAGCTCATATTTCTGTCACTTCGCTCTCTCTTTCAATCAGCATGCCCATGGTTATCACATGAGCACTGCAGCACGACTGACTGGCTCCTTGTACAGCTTCTCCCTCCCCCAGTGTGAGCTCTGCTTTACATGGATTGCAATAACCTTCTTTATTTACAGTGCTGCATTAATTTGTGTCTTTTTATATTTGCTTGGAGGTCCACATTAAGTTAGCCATAGACAGAGGATGGTTAGACATTAACCACAAGCCGAATGTTTTTAGCTGTATTTTAAACACAACCGCTTGGCTTGGCCTATCATTGTGTTTAGCCTATGGAGAGGGGTAGGGGGAGACGTGTGCAGACATCTCCTGGTTCCAGATTCTCTCAGGAGAAACCTATAGCAAAAAGACAAGATAACCTAATGTGACCATTGTTTTTTACCTAAAGACCTTCAACCAGCAGCGAGTAGAGGGCACCCATATACATGGTCTGTGGGCACCGTTAGAGTTATGGGAGACATATGTAGCAAGAGTTTGTTGTAGTCCAGACTTAATATATGAGTTTTGAGCACAGCCCAGCCCCGGGTAAAACTTTATTTTTGTTTCAGATAGAGTGGAAAATGCTTTGAAGAAACGTTTTTCTTGCTGAGTACCAATTTAGGAGATTTCTCCTTCCTTTCTGTCTAATGGGTCTCAGATACATAAAGAAGTGAATACAAATCCCACAACATGGATGCATTCAGCAGTGAGGAAGTTACAGGAACTCTGTTAGCATTGTACTGTAATCTATGTCCGCATTAGTCACATTCTCCCTCACTTCCTGTCCAGATGATGGGTAGCAGACAAATAGAAATTGACAGGAATTCCCTGCAACGTGTAATCCCAATAGATATCCCACCACACTCCTAACCAGTATGCCCCTCGGAAATGGGTGCTGAAGTGGCTGTGGATGGCGCCACTCGAATCCATAAAGATAGGGTATGTCACCAACACACCAAAATAAAGTGTCCAAAAATGTCTTTATTGATGCATGCACATCATGTCACAATGAATGAATAATGAACCTGATGAAGGAAGCCAGAGTGGCCCCAAAATGTTGCCTTGTTTGTGACATGACGTGCATGTGTCAGTAAAGACGTTTTTGGACACTTTATTCTGATGTGCTGGTGACATACCCTATCGTCCCTGCAAGATGGATAAGGTCAGCACTTATACCCGACAAAGACCTACTGTATGTTGTAGAAAATCAGTCTGTGCTAGAGTGAAAACATTAATAAAATCCCAGACACTATCCAAGAGGACTGGTCTGTGTGATCCTATCTGTCCATGTGCAGGTCATCCTTCATCCATGTATGCCTTGTTCTACTGTTTGATTTTAAAATGCCCAAAAAATTGGAACTATGATAGAGGCAAATTATTTGTAACCGTGTGACTTTAACTTTTCTCTTTTGTATAGTGCTAGGCTTATTATTTTCTAACAATCCTCTGAAAGTTTCTTTTTATACTTCTTAAAGCCTATTTAAAAACCTTACTTGTATTATAAGCTCATAATGTGAATCTTGCATACCACCTAACTGCAATATCAAAGATGCCCTGTTTAGGACATGCATGACAAGCCTGTTCTTCCTCTACTATAGACACATCTGTCCTTTCCTATTGGTAAAAGTTGCACTGCATGCTGGGACCGTTGGCTGGCTAACCCTATAAAAGAAACGCATGTGACTGTAAGTGTCTGTCCATGTCTGGGTACTGTGATGTGTATGCTGTGTTGTTCTTAGCTTCTGTCGTTCTAAAATGTGTTTGTCGGTCGCTGCACCTTGATAATGTTGCATCTTTAATGATCTTCCTCTCTGCAAACACGACTTAGATGTGTGTTTCAAATTCTGACTTAATGTTTCATATGAAAATAAAATGTATTTTTAGGTTTAATATTGTCAGTATAATGTGCTAGGTGTGTCAAACAACGCCTACGCATCTTCTGGTGCTCTATATGTCTGGACAATAAATGTGTGTAATGCCATATGTCACAGATTGCTCCATAAGTTAGATAATGCAGCAGTAATACCTAATGTTTAGAAGTGGCTCTGTGCTTTCAGTTGATCCAACCACTCGCCAATCTCCTATCTAAAAGGAAAATCGACATGTACGCTCCAATTACATTCTACAGCTATATGACTCTGTACTTGCCTTCTTTTCCCCTTGGTAATTTATGAAGTTGCTATTTTTCTTGTGTCCTCCATGCATCGGATGCCAATGAAGACTTCATACAGACCAAGATTTCTGCTGCTGCTTCTTCTTTTTATTTTTAAGTTGCAAACTGTATCAGCAACATGCAATGGGTTGAGCAAAGCTCACACTACCAAAAGCATAAGGGTTTGTGCTGATGGGCTTTTGTTTGCATCAGGCAGGTTTTGCATTCCCATACAATTCTTTGGGAATGCAAAACCTGCTTGAAAAAGATAGAATGGAGTTCAAAGGGGGTCAACTACAAGTCAGGCCGATGCACGCAATCATAGTCTTACCACCCCTAGGGCAGGAATGCTAGCAAGCACCATAGAGCACATCATAAACTTGAAAGGTTGGCACAGCCAACTTACTTGCAAAGGGGAAAGAGATGAGTAAAGCAGGTGGATTCGACTGCCATTGCTAAACTCCGTTGCAACATTTTGTAACCTGCCCAATTAATTGCTCCCAACAATAGCAGTTCACCAGTGGTATCTGTGGATTAATTAAAGAAACCATTGTCAGCTTGTCCATATAGGGAACAATGACATTGTCTCGGGAAAGGACATCCCCCAAACCACCTCCTTTTTATCTGCTCTGCCACGGCTGATAAGAATACCTGCACCTTTGGGTATGCTGGAGCATACAATCTGCTCCCCTGTTATGGTGCACTGTCATGTGAGCGAAGGAGTTATGTTATCGCTTCCCCCAGATGGCAAATACAACAGGTAACAGTATCTCTTTAAAGGTAATCTAGGTAGAAATATGGACACTGGCACTCCAATGGCAAATCGGATACGTCTATTTATTGACGTTCATGCAGCATAGCATAATACACTCAGTGCAATGTTTCGGAGTGTCACAGGATCCCCTTCATCAGGCATCTCTTGTTCTGCCTGATGAAGGGGACCCCTTGAGACTCTGAAACATTGCACTGAGTGTATTATGCTATGCTGCATTTACATCAATAAATAGATGTATCTAATTTGCCATTGGAGTGCCGGTGTCCATTTTTCTACCTACGTATAGGGACGGTCATCCATCGACAGCTGTTGCATCCACTTAACATTTATGGAACAGCGGTTTTGCGTGCAATGGGTATATGGACTGTATCGTGTTTAAAGGTAATCTGTCAAAAACCTTTGCAAGTCAAACTAAAGATATGACTTTGTAAACCAAGGCTAGTTGTCATAACAACTATTAGATTCAGGCAAATGAAATTATATGCTAAGCTTGTAAATGTTAGGCTTTGTCCAGCCTCCTTCCACCTCCAAAACCTTTTTAGTCATCATCAGTAAGGCCATTCATCACATTAAAGGACCAATAAAAGTCATGGGGGGTGGGAAGGGGCAAGGCCAAGGTCAGTTGCAAAATAATTTCACTTGGTTATTCAGTATCTCTACGGATGTTGAGAGAGTTGCAGTGACCGTTAGCTCTGTGTATTTATGTACTCTTATCGCAAGTATTTTTTTCCAATAACTTTGTTGGATCTACCAGTTGGAATATTTTTTGTTTTTATTCACACAAGAAGCGTTCCTTTATAAGTTACACAGTATCCAACTGAAACTTCATTGAAGTCACAATTGAGAGTACTTATTGATGTGTCATGCCAGCTTTATGCTAAAATTATTTTCTTTTTGTAGGGGAAAAATTGCGATGGAGCTAACACATAATCTTATGTCTTCTGTCAAGCACCTGTAATTTATTTTCATAATATGCCTCTCTTTGTTTTTAATCTTTCCTTTTATTAAGACAAAATTCCACCTAATGCAACTCTGATCTTTGAAATTGAGCTGTATGCAGTCACCAAAGGACCACGCAGCATAGAGGCATTCCAACAAATTGATTTGAACGAGGATCAGCAACTTTCCAGAGAGGAGGTAATAGAAATATTATATGTTAGAATCTTGTACTGAAAATGTTGTGTATGTATTTTATGCAGTGTCTGGGTGTCGGGTAGTTTGGGTGACCTAGTAGAAGTGGCCATTAACTTAGTGAGGGAATGGCCAGGAGGTGTGTATTCAGGAGAGTGCAAGGTTTGCGGGGAGATAAGAGCCAGTGTTATGGGTGTTGTAAAACCAGAGTGATGCCCTAGCACTTTTACCCAGTGTCAGAAGAACTGTGTATGTCTCACAGGTTTCTCGCATACACATGGTGAGGGCTTCAAGGCTTATGACTAAAGTGAAGAAAACAAACCCTTTGTTTTCTTCTGTTCAGGGTCCTGGAGCCTTGGGTGAGATAAGCCTCCATTCCTTAGTCCACATCTTACCTCATTATTAGTCTCAGTTGTCCAAGTCCTGTAAAGAGGACCTGTCATGTAAATTAGCTATCACATAGGGAGCTTTTTAGCTCCCTATGTGATAGCAATAAAGTTAAGTGTAAAAAAAAAGAGTAATAAAAAAACCACTACATACACATGCAAACATGTGTCGGGTGCGCCTACGTGCAAAAACAACAATTTCACCTATTGTGCCGCACATGTTACATATGTCGCGAATGTTGGAGTGAGAGCAATAATTTTGGGGCCTTTAATCGCTTATAACACTAAACTGATGAGCAGTAGAATCGTTTAAAGCATCGCCTATGGCCAATTTTTGGTGTGGTCGTATTTTGCAGGCGTGCACAATTTTAAGGCTTGACATGTTTGGTGTCTATTTACCTGACGTCACCCCGTCTTCTATATTTGACTAAAAATATGGGTAAGAATAAATGTTTTTTAACATCACATTAACAACAGCACCTGTCCTTCCCGGGAGCTGCCCGATACTGTCGTGCACGCAGCACGGAGCTGTATGTGCAGGCCGTTTCTCGTGTGAATGAGGCGTTATGGCGTGATGTCAGCTGACATAAAACAAATGTTTTTTGACATGCAGAGTGTGCTGCAAAGGTAGAGGTTAACAATGTCTACAATTCTTTCTACACTGTAGGCATGGGAATACAGCCTCTGCCCATTATAGTCATACCGCCCCATTATCTTTTGTAATGTTTTCTCTTAGGTACTGAGGGAAGCATTTTATTGTGTTAAGCAACTGCTACTTAGCCCCAAAACTGGGCTTTTAGATCAGTGTCGTAATTTCACAACCCGTGCATTTAAAGTTGTGCTAGAAGTATCATTAAGACTTAGTGACAATAAACTCAGGAGTTAAACCTTAAAAATGCATTCAAGTACCTTTTAACTATTATCAAAACTTTAGCTTATTTGTGCATCACTCAGTTGTAGATCCTCAAATTATCTCTGAATTGTGCTGTCACTGTCCTTCCTTCTGGAGGGTGGCTACTTTTGTTCCCCATGGTCCCTGGTTGTGTTGTAAAGTAAAAACCCCTCCAATCTCGCTCCTGTGATGGACTACAATCTCAATACAAATTAGTAAACTAAACGTGATGTTGTAGTCCATCATGGGAGCAAGCTTTGAGCGCTGACACTAGGGACATTGCAGCATCTCTCCTCCGCTCCAGCGATGGGATGTCCCTCAGCATCCTCACGTTCTATACACTGTATAGGATGACTCACGGAGCAAAGGGTTCTTTAAACGTTAATGTTCCCAGCGCAGTTGCACATTCATTTTAGTTACATTTAAAAGAGAACTATGGGGTAAGTGTTTTCCCCCATAATTCTCTTAAGGGTCATGGTAGGACATATACTAACCTCCTCCTGTGACCCAAAGCTCAGTATAGCGCAAGCTACAGCTCGCGATATACTAAGACCGCCGCAGCCGGGATGTATCCCGACAATGCTGTCCAGATCCACTCAGCTGCGTGAGTGACAGCTGGCTCTGCCTATCTAGAGCCAGAGCCAGCTGTGCCTGCCCCCGCTCCTGTGCGTTCCTCCACTCAGCGCAGGGCCGGTGCTAGGATTTTTGCCAACACAGGCAAAGTTGAATTTTTGCGCAACGAAGGTAAGTGAAGAAAAAAAAAAACATAGAGCAAGCATCGGGGCATTTTGACAAGTACTTGCCCTCACCCTGCAGCACCCTCAGACCTTGCGGTAGCGCCGGGCCTGAGTCAGCACTGGAGGATCGGAGCGGGGAGGGGAGGGAATCCCTGCGAGGAGTGGTGACAGTCAACGCTCTCTGCAGGGAGATCGAGAAGTGAGCAAGCGACGGTACACATAAATATTCCTTAGAAATGCCATGTAATCGGGATATTCATTTAGCTACATTACTCTTAATGGGATATTCAGTATAAAATGATAAATAATATTTTAGTAGCTGCCATCAGTATCCTTTGACTTAATGGTAAATGATTAAACTGTTTGGCTAATATTTTCTTTTGTTACAATCGTTGCAATTACTGGGCCTATAAAAAATGGCTCCTTGTTGAGAAATGTAAATGTGGAGATTATATTAGTGTAATTTATATGCTAAATGATTATTCAGGTGATGTTGATGTTTAATCACATAGCAGGTATATTATGAGCCTAGAAAAATGCAGATGCACATGTTTTTTACTGCTATCCGGAGCTCCATTACAAAGATTAAAAATATATCTTCTCTAAAAAGCCAATAGGAATTCTAGTTTCTCCTACTCTACTGAAAGCATGTCTAACCCAGAAAATGTAATATATTACAACTTACCTGCCTTTAGGTAGCTACATAACTTTCAAGCTCTTTTCCCTTTTTATTTTCACCTGGTGATCCTGCCGATAACATACTTCCTAAACTTTTATGTCTAGCCTAATTTCTCCATTATATCTATGGAAGGAGCCATGGTTGTTACTAGGGCTGTGCATGGACTTCGGTGCAAACCGAGTTCACCAGAGCCCCCGCAAAACTGTCAGTGACAGATTCCCCCCGGGCCCAATCAGCTGTGGCAGGGGCATTCCCTGCTCCACAGATACACATAACGAAGGGGTGGGAAATGCCTCAGCCAGAGCTTATTGGGCAGGGAACTGAATTCATCACTGACAGTTTTTCGTGGGCTTGGGAAAACTCGGTTTGCACAAAGCTCACGCACATCCCTAGTTGTCACACAGCTGGACTTCAAACACAATTGACTTTGTTCATCACATTTACATGGTGGATTGATGAGACTGTTTGTTTGCACAAGAAAGATAAGAACGTTTTGCACTTTATTTGTAGCTCACAGGAAGTGACAAATACATTGCATTTCTGACAGGATCCACAGGTATTTTCTGTACTTGCTGAAAATGCTCTTAGCCTAAAAATTAAAATGAATTCAGCCACAACATCTAAGGATTAATAAGCCGCCATATATTCTTTTTTGTTTTTAGATTTAGATACAAATTTTTATTTCTGTCGGTTGCTGTCGGTTGCTGTAGTAGATCTTCCTTCACTTCCTGTCTGCTATCTATATCCCTTAAACAAAGTCGTATGCTTTAATATTTTATGATTGCAAAGAAGGAAAAATCAAAGCTTTACGCATTAGTGTTTTAGTTTGTTGGTGAGAGATATTAGTTTGGTTTGAAGCAACCATTTGGTTATAAAACTCTCCACTTCTTTTTTTTCTTTCATGCAGATAGGTCATTATTTAACAGAAGAATTTAGGAAAGATGGGAAACAGCGAGACCCTTCCATGCACGGCCTGATTTTAAATGACATATTTAAGAAAAACGATCACAACGATGATGGCTTCATATCGACAAAGGAATACAATGTTTACAGGCACGACGAATTATAGCATATTATTGTACTACAGGTAGCTAGTTATGTATTAATTGTCACAAATCATTTGTGCCCATGCAGGTCTCTTGGAGTGTAACAACATTTTTTTTTTAAATGAATCAGTTCATTATCCTCAGCTTAAGACTGACATTTGTGACTCATGTTCCTTTTCCAAAGTTTTTATAAATGGGCTTGACTGTGTTTCTGAACTGTGCATTGTATGTATTGCTATGTTTAGTTTTGGTGGTAGTTATATGGCAGTCATGACTAGGGTAGATTGTGCAACACTTAAAAAGGTGTAGTGTGAATGGTCTAGTAGCAATTAATCACATTGGACTAGACTTGTTCTCTAATTTTGAAGATGTTTTGTAGCTTCTCCAAACCATCTCTTCTGTTCAACTGAGTATTAAAGGAGAACTATGAGGTGAGTGCTTTTCACTCATCATCATAGTTCTAGCCGACCTGTGACAATGAAACTGTCACAGGTCGGCTCAGTAGATCGGGAAGTGAGCGAACACATAACGGCGTTCGCTCACTTCGCGATCCTGTCACGACAGAGTGCCATGACAGGGGAGGGACTGTATTCCCCCCCTCCCCGCTCCGATCCCCCAGCGCTGACTGGCAGAACGGACGGGGGAGGGGGCGGATACAGTTGGCTCTGCCACTAGATGGGGAGAGCCAGCTGTCACTCATGCAGCTGGGTGGATCCAGACATAATTGTCGGGATCCGTTTCAGCTGCGCCGTCTCAGTATATATACACTGAGCTTTGGGTGACAGGAGGACGCTAGTTTGTGTCCTCCAGTTACCCTTGGGAGAACTATGGGGAAAAGCCCTAACCCCATAGTTCTCCTTTTAAGGTGGCCATATGCTGCAAATTTGGCTGGTTCTTGAGGAAGTTTTGGAGTCTAAAGCTGGCCATACACTGCGCAAAGTTGCGCAGCTTGTGGGGCTGTCGGCACCCTTTTGGCTGGCATCCCTCGATTAGCTGATCGAAGGAGTCGGTCAGAAAATCTTCAAATGAACAGAGCGGGCAGCCAATGAACTGTCAGCCAGCGGCTGCTGTCAGAATACAGTAAAGACAGCAGGGAATTTCTCGATTTAATGCTCATAAGCGTTGATCGAGGAATCTGTTCCATTTATTTCGTTCAGCCTGCGGGTTGAAGAAAAAAAATAGAACAGTGTATGACCAGCTTTTACAGTATATCAGCATTTGCAGTATATCCACACAGGTAGCAAAGACACCTTAATCCAATCACCATGGCATGTTTAGGTGTTGATTGTCCAAGAACAGGATGGGAGGTGTGAAAGTTATGGAACAATCCCATCCTTGGTGTCAAGAAATCTACATAGGTGTTAATTCCTTGATTTACATGGCTAAAGGTGTGAATTGTCAAAGCGCCTGGGTACAAATGTTAAAACCACAGTATATGTGAAAGACTAGAACAACTTTCACACCTCCCATTCTGTTTTTGGACAGTCAACATCTGCCTTTCCATCGTAAGTGGCGATTATACTAAAACAATATTTGGGCATACATTAATTTGTTTTCAGAACACGCCGGTGGCCATATTTGCTCTCCCTCTGCTGCATTTAGCTGAAACAAAGAAAATGCCCAGCACTTCTGGATATAAATGAGCTTGTAACTCACTCCAGGAGAGTCACCAGACCTCTGTAAGCACCACTTGTAGCGTCTCCTTATGTCAGCAGCCAAACAAAGCAATGGTAATGCATAAGAAAGCGGTGAGTATGTGCTGTCGGTGAGGGGTAATTAAAGTAAACCTGTCACTTTGCCCCACATGGGTAAAGCACAATTCTGCTATAAAGCATACCCGTTATGAGAGTAACATGGAGGCAACCATTGCTGACTGCCTGAAATTGCTAGTTGCTTGGCTGCAATACAGACTTTAATAGTCTCTCAGTCCTTGACCTCAAAAACCTATCCAGATCAGGACAGTCAGGGTAAAGTCATGTTTCTCTCATGACTGATTTCTCTTAATAGTTTTGGGTGGAGGTCTTCCCTAATTACCCTGTGAAATATTGAATACATTTAGTGAAATGTGCTTGCTTCACGGGAAAATGTGACCACATGGATTCTTTTTAATAAAGCAAAAATCAATATTTAAAGTGATTACCAGTTAAGAGTCCTCTTCTATTGGTTTATCCTGTAAAAAGATTACATCTGGTTGGTCACCATGGTTTGCCAGATTTTGTATTTCATTACTGCTCTTTGCATTACTACTAAAGTATTCCAAAGTATACCAATTCCATTTCAATTACAACTGATTTATTTCATGGAAACTGATGCAAATGTAATGCTCCAGCCTAACAGATAAAGAAATTAAATACATATATACTGTATATGTGAATTGTTTTAGCTTTCAAAATATATGTGATTGTTTTTAGGTGTACTAAGTTGCTTATCTAGGATGGTGACACCAACCTGTAGCATTACAGCTTCTTGTGTCATCTGCTTTCTCATTGGATTATGAAGGAGGAGCATTATCATGCCACAAATCAATCAAATGGAGAATCTTTGCTTTGCGATTTTTATTCAGTTCGATCATTTTAGTTGAATTGAATTATCGATTTTATGACTACACTGATATACTGTATGCGTGGCAATCTTTGACATACTGTGTAGAATCAATGAGATGGAGCCTGATTTGCTCACATTGCATAACTTACCTCTCAGTCTGAACTTTCATGTGCAGGGCATTTTGAGAACATAATATAGTAAGCTTGCAGTTATCCGGTATTCAGCTAACCAGAACTCTCATCTAACTAGAAAAAAAAATCCCCTGTGTACTCACTGTTCTGCTGATCTGCGGCATGTATTATCCTGGAAACGATTGTGTGTCTATTTCTCTTAATTTGCATTTGATTACTGCATTTCAATATTAATATGAAGTCTATACAGAGTTTGTTATGGTATAGTATGGGGTATGGCATTAGTTAGACCTAGCAGTATACTAACAGACCGCACTATCCAGAGAATTCCAATACTGCAGACTTTATTGAAATTCACAGCAAATCCAGTATATCAGTGAACAAAAATGTATAATGCAACAAATGCCAGCACTGCACACCCCCAACCAACTACAAGTTGTTTAGTTAGACTTATTTTTAATAGTAACTCTCAAGCAACCAGAAACTACATTTATCCAGAATCTATCAATCCCCGTGGATGCTGGATAACGGGGAGTTTATAAAGATGGCTATCAAGAACTTGCTAGTATATTTAATCCTGAACTCCAAGCTTGCTATCAACAATACGGTTTTGAAGACCCTTTTGCGGTAGTGGATTTAACAGCTAATTGTAGATATTATCTATCTACTGAAGAGAAAACCATTGCTGGAAATCCCCTGCAGACTGTATAGTATCAGCTTCTCCATTCACAAGGCACTGGTGCAGGCGAGACGATCATGAGGGAGCTAAGTCACTGTGTTGTGACATAGTTTCCAACTACAGGATGGCGGCACCATTGCAGATCAAAGTCTGTGGATGATGACGCAGGAAGACATACTCTCTTGTGCCTCTCTTGCCCTGCAGCAGGTATCTATATGTATAATCTTCTGCATTAAAATTATACTCAGTAGCAATTTTATTATGTACTGGCAATATGCTTTAAACATGAAATGTTCACTTCTATTGGTAAAATATACTTGTTTGGTTCCATGGAACAAATGCATAGAATTGTAAAGCTCTAGCACTGGTGAAATATACTCAAAGCTGATAGCTGAATACACAGATGGTAAACATATATGGGAACTGTTTTACCTGCCAATGGATATGTATTTCTTTAGTTTAGTTCAGGGGTAGGCAAACTCCGTCTCTCCAGCTGTGGTGAAACTACAAATCTAATTAGGCTTTGCAAGACTCTGACAGCCACAGGCATGTCTCCCAGAGGCAGATGCATGATGGGATTTGTACTTTCACCACCGCTGGAGGGCTGCAATTAGTTAAAGCTAAGCTCCATTAGTGATCCATTAATATGGATACATACATTGGTCCATTTTGGCTGGTATTTATATCTGATCCCTAGAGGGCCACTGGGGATGCTAATATCACTTTATTAGTCAGGGCTATATACAGTTAGTGCTGGTCTCTTCTAGCAGCAGCTTTCCCACTGCACACTGAGCACAGGGAGCTGCTTGCTGGGCACCACTGCCATTCAGAAAGTACCTTCTATTTTTCTCAATGAATACAAGGCATTTCTGATTGGACAAGGTGGTAATTTTGACATCATCTGCCCCTCCTCTCCATCTCATCCAGTCAGGGAATGGCGGAGAGCAACTCTCTGTGCTCAGTTTGCAGTGATGAAACCACCGCCAGAAGAGACCAGCACTGACTGTATATAGAGCTGTTTAATAAAATGATTTTTAGCATCCCCAGCAGCCCCCTGAAGATCAGACATGGATACGAGCCAAGCTGGAGCAATGCAAAAGATCATGCCTGCGGTTACATTTTAGGCTTTTGCCAGCCTGCTAGCCAGCATCTATGTATGTATGCTAAGGGTCTTTTTTATTGTTCAGTGTATTACCCTGGCGATGTCCTCCTTTTCCATTTTTGCTAGTATTAAATTGATCTGAGTGGTCGACACTGGCGGAACTACCAGGGTTGCAGCGGTCGCGCCCAGGCCCTGGCGTTCCGCCTGCTGGGGGAGGGCCCAGCGAGGAAGAAGAGGGCCCCCCCCTGGATCGGCAAGGTGTCCGTGAATGGTGCTTGCAGGGTCCGCCACGGCCGTACATTACATGTGAAATTAGTTGGTACGGTCCCGGCCCTGACCCCCCTGTACAATTGTGGTATTTTGGTACCTCCCTGTTCACGTGCAGGAAGGTTTTTGGGGGGGCGGAGCTTTCTTTTTAGTGGGCGGAAGGTGAAGAAGATCAAGGCGGGAGAGGGGAAGGCTGCTGCTGGACTGTAAAGGTAAGTAAGAAGGCTGGGTTGGGGGGGAAAAGGCAGCAGCAGATATGTCTTGCTGTCTGGGGGGGAACAGCAGCAGTTGTGTCTTGCTGTCTGGGGGGGAACAGCAGCAGATGTGTCTGGGGGGGAACAGCAGCAGATGTGTCTTGGTCAGTGGCGGAACTACCAGGGTCGCAGAGGTCGCGGCTGCGACCGGGCCCTGGAGTTCCGCCATTTGGAGGGGGCCTAGGACAGGAGGAAGGGGCCCCTGGTAACCGCTGATTACCA